ACTGTTCAATTGACTCAATTATCTATCTCTATATCTATGCAATTCTATCGTTCTCGCTGGGCTTATGTACTAAAAAAAGAGGGAACTTGGAACAAACTAGACTTGCCAGGAAAATTCACGATCCTTCGAGAAACTCCAGCGCGCATGCTCCCAGCATTGCGTGACTTCCGCTGTCGTAATACTATTTTCCTAATTATCCTATTAAAATTTCATTTTCAGATCAGAAGCTTTTGAGCTTCTTTCAGAAGGAGGCAATAGAGATGGTTATAGGTGTCTTTTGGGGAATTTATTCCAGTGTTTTTTGTTTTCTCATAGTTCCAAAGAGAACAGGATTGGCATCCATCCAATCATTTTGTTGAATGATGTAATGACATAGTATGTGATGTCAGTTTAAATGTGTTTGAGCATTTGTAGGTTTGGTATATGAGAGCATAAAAGGTTATTGGGTTTTGACTAGACAGTCTCAAGTAGAAAAATGACATCAATTGAGCAGATAATCATCTGTGTTCTTGCTTACTGTTAGTGTGCCTTCCTACCTGCAGTATACTTTCTGTGATTTTAATTCTCAAGAAGCAGAGACCTTTCAACTTGATTTTTTATTGAAAATTGTCCTTTGTTAAGTGTTGTTAGAAAGTGACCATATTCTGAGTTTTTCATTGTTGTCAGCTTATCTTTTCATAATAATAGATTTGATCATAAAAAGCTCTTGGATGAAAACCTGCAAATTTACTTTTGACTATAATTTCCTCATATAATGACATATATATCTGTATTTCTCATGATTTTTGAATTAAAAAAAGATAATCACAGTATAAAATGTATTTTGTTCATACTGATAAATTTATCTTGTAAAGTACTAACGTTGTGGTAGATATGTTAATAGACGTTCAGTTGGATTTGTCTTTCTAGGTTTCACAAAGTATGGCTGATGAGAGTTTACGATATTTTCAGTGAGATCTACAGCTGTTCCTGTGATCCTGTTCCTTTTCTTGTAAATCAATTTCCCAGGTACTAAGTATTCTGAAGTTATTATCACATGTACAAAGTAAGCTGTTGAATTTGAAATACTATCTTATCTTGTAAATTGTGCATTACATGTTAAGATATATAGTTATGATCATGTTTAGAAAACTGAAGTAAATAATTTTTGTCATTTGTTATAATTATTACATCTGTCATGTAAAGAGAATAAATTACAGATTTGTTTCTGATCCTTTTTGTTCTATTATACAATCTGTTTTTTCCGAGTCTAACCTTTTTAAAGGTCATGCATCATACACATTTCTACAATTAAAAAATGTTGATGCAAGTTCAAAGTTTGAGAATACCATTTAGATAGGCATCTCTATGTAATTATTTTTAATTTAAAAACCAGATATTTTGTGTATGAAAGCCTTGTAATGTTTACTAATAATCTGCAAAATTTTGTAAAAGACTCGCTTACTTTATAAAAAATTATAGTATAATTACTGGATCCCACCCAGCCCATATTCATAGGATTAAACCCAAGCAGAATCTGCCACTGTCTGGCTTAACATCCTGATTTACTCATTGGATGGTGACATCATTTGATAACATTTATGTGTCTTTGGCTGAAAACTAATCCAAACCATGTTATTATCCACAAAATTTAAGTTTTATAAGGTATGGTGACAATTATTAGGATATCATGAAAATAATTCCGGCAGAACGTACAAAATATTATGGGTTTAAAGAGTTAAAGTACCCACTGGAATTAAGTTCCTATTATTCACAAACTTTTTTAGAACAATGCATTAAGAACGAATAGCACACATAAACATGTGGGTACACATACTACTGTTCATGTACATCGAGAATGAATGGCACAGAACATGTTCTCTTATACGAGACCTCACTTATAAGTCCCAAGTATTTAGAAATTGTATTCAAAATTAAACGAATGCATATATATGTATTAGTAAAGCTATTGTGTTTAATCTATTGCCTTTCTCCCACAATTTCAATAAGCCCCAGGCAGTTAGAAACAAACTTTGGATATTAATATATTTTCTTTTTATTAAATAAAAATACTTTTTTAGATTCTAACTAGTAAGTCACTAATTTGTTAGATTCCATATTTAATGTTTAAAGTCAAACTCAAAAAAATATTCACAATTTTTGTAACTGTTCAGCTTCCAAGAAACTCCATCATTAGAATATTTATCAACATCTATTATCATGTTTCCTTTACAACTAAAATTTTGTATTCAAGAGAACAAGTTACAGCTAGATTAGTACTCATAAAAACATTTGTTTATACCATTACTGTAAACTTTTATAACAAATGAAAAATCTTCAGTGACTAATTGTAGTCGTAGTAAGGAGATTATCATACAAAATGTACTATTTTCATAACATTCCTTTTTTATTAGTTTCAGATTACAGAAATCTCTACATTTTTAAACATACTTACTGTAATAACTTAAACAAAGTCATATTAATTTTACTTGTAATGTATTTTACATGATGGAACAAAAGTAATTAACAGTCTATTACAAATACTAAACACAACATGTAATTTGTTATATTGAACATAGTTAACATTGTTAAATTTTAACATCACTCTGGAACATAACACAAATACACTATTGCAATACAGTGCAAATTTACATTACATACTTTTTCAATCTGTTTCAAACCTCCTATACATGTTCCCAATTGATTGCCCCACCTTCTACACATATATAGTATTTAAAACTTAAGATTTGTACATTATCTATCAATTTTTTTATATTATAACAAGAGTAGCCAATCAAGTTACTATTACAAAAGTATACCAGGCTCCCTTAGACATTTGGGATTGATAACATAGTTAACAAATTGCCTGTTTTAGCTATTTTAATTCAATAGCTACTAAAAATAATAGTATGCCTTTCATTGTAGTATGTAATGATACAAATTATTATTTTACAAAGACTGGCGTGTACAAATTTGGTACACATTTGTAATATATTGTACTAGCAATAATAATCAGTTGTAAAGTTAATTAGTAGTTTGCAAGCCTTATATAACATATACACTACATTTTATGATGCATGTAAACACAGTGACCACTGTTTAAAATAGTAAAAACTAAATATTGTCAGTACTTTTGAATGTTTTCTTTACTTTATCATCCTTATTTTATATAATTAGTAGTACAATTATTAAATTAAAGTGAATTTAAATTCATATGTCATATTGTTTTTTAAAGAAACAAGAGTAATTTTTGTTAAAAGTATTACAGTGTACATGTAATTATGGTCTTTTCTGTAGCATTTATCAATTCTGCAACATTATTTTGTAAGCATGTGGCTAGTATTTTTTAGCCTTGCCCATTTGTTCACACTGATTCAAACCATTGTTTGACATTCAGTTATGTTTATTCGAGATTCCTTCACATATTGATCATGAATAGAGATCTACTCATTCAATTTGGAAAAGGAACTTACTTCTTGTAGGTACTGTAAGTAGCAACTACTATTTCTTTGATAGTCACTGGCACATCAGTTTGAGTTTTAACACTAGGAAATAAGAAAGCCAATATTCATGTATTTCTTACTAAAGCAGTTGTAATTATTAAACCCTTAAAAGGCAGAAATACTTTTTAGATAAATAATTATTGTAATAAAACAATAATGCCAAAAACAACTAGCATCATGCATATTGGTCTAAGATTCAAAGTGTGGAGTTG